TCAGACGATGTGTACGTTTCGTCATTGACCACGATTACTAATGCTCGGACGTGCGCCTTATCTCTTGATGATTCGAGCGAAAATAAAGTTTGCGCTGTATTACATCGTTTGTACTCGATTTAGGATGAGAAAAGAAGATTAAATTGGTGGAGATGAGCGGAGAGATTAAATTGATAAGTATAATGATCCCGAGGCTGCTTCTCACGCCAAGACTCATGGGACTGTGCCACAGAGCGCGACCCCACTTCTGCAGTTATTATTTTTTTAACGACGGATCCTTTAGTAATTTGTAATCAGGCTTCTCTTTGCGAAAATATCATATGGGATGCCCATAAAGGATCAAAAGTTTCAAATATTCATATAGTGACGTAATCTTCAATCAAGTATAAGTAAAAAGCGAAGGATTGTCATAAAATATTATCAACATGCGTAGACGATAGTGTCGGAGAATAATTTTGCACTACCTCCTATCGTAGTGTTACATCGACTTTTAAAGTGAGTGAGACTACGTGCTACGTGATGCTTTTGTTATTACAGGAATGAAATCGACTGTTTTCATGATGATCATATATAGAAACTCGAAGACTATAAAAAAATAGAGAAAAACGTCGTTTGTTAGAGTTAACTCTAACAGACGTTCCAATCAACCTTTACTTATACTACTTAAATATATAAGGCTAAATTATCTCGAATAAATTATAATATAAGAAATCCAAAAAATGCATAACAATAAATTCCACTTTTTTCCACATTATTTCCCAATCGAAAATCAAATCGAAAACTTAATCTCAAGTTCTTCAGATACAAAAAGAAAATTAAACATTTAAAAGAAACGAATTCCTTTCTTCTCGACATGCTTTTTTACGGCAAACGAAATAACTTATCGAAGCATACTCGTGTCTATCACGTTTCTCTATGGACGACTGACTACAACAGGTGGTTTACCTATTGTCAAAGCTAAGCGAAACCATTAGACATGCTGTTAACCTACTTAGCAGCCGGTAACGGTCAGCCGGCGCCGATTACATCGGCTCGATAATATGTGCCTTTCTTTCCGATCCTATCAGCGAATCGCAGACTCTATCGGTCGATACGTAACCCCTTAACACCGCATCGTAATTTCCATAACGCGTGTTTCCTACGCGCGCGATGCTATCGCGAGCGGTGTTGTAACGAGTATATACGTGCCACTTGACTAGGAAATCAATCCTATTCAAAGATCAAGCGAATAATTTGCACGATAATCAGACGGAATTATTTCATCTTCGATGTAGTCATCTGGGCGCATCTGGGAAAGAATTTCATTTAGTAGAAATTTCATTCGATCAATCCGAGAATTTTCTCGTTAGAATTAACAGAGACAATCGCTCCCTCGTCAAAAAGGTATAAATATTGCACAAACCGCCCGCTAATAGTAGCGCCGTAGCAATTACCGTACAATGATACTCGTATTGCAGAATTACCGCTAATTGCACAAGTAACAGCATATTAATGCAAGTTTGCAAGTTTCTCACGAGCGAGCCCGATGCTTGACTTGCGTTGATACAACATCAGTTTCCCGTCTTCAGACAAGAGCGACCATAACTTATTATCGCATTTTGCGGTCTGTAACAACACACAACGTCGAGAGTTTGCCGTGAGAGGGAGGCAAACCCTCCTCGTCGTATCGCTCTTGATACACGCAAATTTGTTGAGCACGTCGCGGTCGTTTGACAATCAACGTAAATTGTTGGAAATTAAAGTTGAAATCTCGAGCGCGGAAATATTACCGCGCGGAGGAGAATTTATCGCGATTTTGATTGGCCATTGGTTAGTTAGCGGAGACTCGAAGACAATACACGCGGAATTTATTTGCGGTCGCGACCACGTATTACTTCAAACTGCCCGTTATATTCTACCAATGAGCAGTCGTCGCAATTACTCCGTTTTCATATTCCATCGCACGGCGTGGGCAAAAAGAATAAGTTTGAAAGATTACTTCGGTTTCTTCCTGAAACGCTAAGTACTTTTTGCGTAATTATTTAACGGAATTAATCAATTTCAGGCTTGAGGTTGAGAAAAAGACGTCGTTTTATTTTTGTCCTACTTTACGTCTGATTTTGCAAGAGAGAGAGAGAGAGAAAGAGGGGGAGCGGGGAGAGATTATTCAAGAGTAATTTCAATTTCAACGTTTTTCTTTCACGATAGTTAAACGATAGCGAGGAAAGAATCGGCTTTTTTAACAAATTAAATTTAGCTAATGTATAGATATAAAAAAAAATCGACGAAAATTACTTAATCCCCGTGCTTCCAATACAGTTTCTTTCGAGAATTGTCTGGAAATCACTTTTCCGCCGTTTTCGGATGACCCGACGTTTACACCGTTATCGCCGTTATCGTTACTGGTTTTCACAAAATTAATCAGTTTGACTGACCGAAGCGGTAACTTGAAGCACAACACATCGTAACGCGAGGAAATGAGGTAAGACGGAGCGAGGTCAGGCCATGAGCGCGATTAGGTAACGTGTTACGTTACTCCTAACCAACGAGTTACGGGTCTCAGTTGGCCAACCTCTCTCGTAAACGTGCTTACACAGACAGAACCTGTCGTCGTGCACCGCACCGGCGTCATACGGCCGTGAGTACACGACACGAGTGAAGTCGCAGTGGCGTACACGCGCGGTCTCGGAAAAACAGCACGAAATCTTACACCGAGGTTACTCTAATTAATTACAGATTACGTTTACACAGCTAGCAGATGAAAAAACGCACGTCATTTCCCGAGGGGAATTACCAATCTTTCCCGAGAAGCATCGGACATCGAGCGAATCAAACGCGCGGCTTTTCGAGCGCTTAAAAAATACATGGCTCTCCGTTGAGAAATGAGAAATGTGATCGTGCGAGTTTATTTTTTCAGCCTCTAAATAGGGATTATTTTATCCGATGTTGTAATTATAAGCCAGGGCACACGGAAACATCGAACACGTTACTGAAGCTACGGAGGAGATTGGTTGCGGGTTACGAGCAAAAGCGTTGCGTCACGTCACATTTCATAGTGCGGTGCGCCTTTATGCGAATTACAAACCCCCTCAGGCCTTGGGAACAAAATATATACTACGCTCACTGTGTCTCTTTTTGTCACAGTATTACGGTATCGTTTTCGGATTTAAAGTTCGGAGTTAAAGTGTTAACGTTTTTATGTTGCTTGTCAATTAATCCACGCCCAAAATTCCAATATCAAGTTCAATTGCGTAATCGGAACTGTATGGCGCTTGCAAACTGTACGACAAAATTTTTGCAGCGTCTCGAGAGCGCGAAATTGGCAAAAAATATACAGGAATACGTGTAAAAAAAAATACTTTAATATAAAAATTATTTAATCTTTCCTGTTAAATCTTTGTTGGTTTCAATATAAAGAAATCAATTAGTTTTTCAAATTTGAGAACTGTAAAAGGTTACATTTTATATGCGTAGAAGAATATATCATTGTTAAATTCCAAAGGGTTTTGAAAGGTCTTTCCGTTACGTAAACATGACATTTTCTCGAACACACTTGGTATATTATGAATTCAACTTGGTAACTATTGGACATTTTACTCTAATTTAATCTATCAATTTAATTTATACTCGGCTTGCAAGGATGTGGCGCGACGGATGGCAACGCGACGCAGGATATAACTTGGAAAGATTATCCAAAGACACTTCTCACAATTGAGACGCTGAATCGAGTTTTCTCGAATGACAGCTCGTCGTATAAGTATCCGTACGGGAAAATGACATGAAAGTCGATTACTGTCGTGGGGATGCTTTATGGAGCTTCAGATGTACAGGATATCTCAAAATAAATGTGTCAAATATTATTATCATATTTTAGAGAGTGATATATAAGTAGTTTAAAAAATCAAAGATTACATGACATTGTTTTCAAGATTCGATATTAAAGCTTTAGATATAGATCATTTTCAAATTTTCATTGAAGCATTATAAGCGCAATTTGAAATCTTAAAATGGAAAATCTCGTTATCAATTTGTCTTTGAACTTAAATAAAAAATATGAGAGTCACAAGATTCTTTATTAAGATTTCTATAAGATTTATTAAGATAAAAATTTGATTAAATTGAAATTTATCTCGTTAATTCTGGGACACTCTGTAGAAAGATTCCCTTTCTCTCGAGCCGCGCGACTGGCGGACATCTCATATATTTTCCAAGCTCCTTCTCTCTCTGACGCATTTCGGATATTAGGTTTCGAACGTCAATCAGAGCACACCATCGATCGTCATCCGAACGCCGTGACAGCGACGGATTACGCGCGAATGTCGTCAGAAAAATAGATACGAAATACCGTCAAAGTTTCCCGGCCGCGAGGTCTCGTGCCTAAAAAAACTCGCAATATCGGATTTGTAATCGCTAATAAAATCTTTGCAATCGCTAATAAAATCTCATAAACATAAATAAATAAATTAATAAATAATTAATAAAATCAAATTAATTTAAATTTTGAAATTTAAATAAAATTTGATATTTCATTTATCACAGTTAAAGCTATAATACATAATTTAAAAAATTAATTATATTATAAATTAAAAATTATTAGCTATATAATTTAAAGCTACATAATTAAAAAATATTTTTCAACATTCAAATTTATCAAAACAATAAATTTTACATATTATATGAGAAAGAGAGAAAAATATTTTGATTTCTTATTTAGAAAATTAAAAAATCCATTAAGGACAATTTTTACATAAATGAAATAATTTTCCAAATTTTTACTATATGGATTTACATTGCAAACATTCAAAATTGAATTTAGTGATGCAAAAAGTCCTCATATGGTAGATGTTTCATATAAATTCAATAAACGCCATTATTAAAAATATTTTTGATATACTTTTCGTAATATATAAAAAATAAAATTACGTATGTAAATTTTATTCATTATTTCTCTACTCCATTTTTTAAATTATTTTTCTGGGTTCTCTGTATACTTCGAAAAAAATAATATTAAACAAAAATTATTTTTTCGCACAGAGAGACATACGCACGCACATCGTCCGTTTATTAGAAATAGAAAGTGAAGAATAAGAAATGAGGAAGAGAGCGTGTAATCGATCTAATTTCAGATCATTGTGCACGTAAACATACGTAATGCAGTGAGAAAGCGTGAGGATTTTATGGATCAACGACTTTGTAATTGAGCGACCGATAGATCTTGGCAATTTACGAAGCCGGCAATCTGCAGATCTATCTAGCAATTTATGAAGCTAACAGTCTAACAAATTTAACGGGTCTATCGATCCATAAATCCAGAAGATGCGAGACCCTACCGTTACACGAGCCTAATTACTTTCAGCATTTATGCTCGGCCGTCTCGCATGGTTAAATACATCGCTTTTTTCTCCTTCCAAACGGAAACTAAATTCATGAAATAAAATTATTTGCCATACTCTCAGAAGCGCGAATTTGCATGTTGTATTTTACGGTCTTAATATTGAAACTCGCTGCTTTATCGTTAAGATCTTAGGGGGAAAAAAAAAAACACACAAGAAACCATTTGCCATATTCGATTACCGTATATGTTCCATGGCGGTGAAACTGGATCGTATAGTACGCGCGCGTGTCCGGATACATCTGCAAAACAAATGCGGCGGCTGACGGCAGACGGCATAAGCGCAGATTTATGGAAATAATCGTAAATATGCTCGCGGTCTTTTCGAGGGACGGATGCTGATGTAAATCGATATTCGCAGACAGCTGGCCATTGTTACACCGGATAGATAAAAGGTAGAAAGAGAAAGATATGGATATCTTTTATTCCGTTCTCGTGGTGTAATTATTTACACGAGTTTATAAAGATTTACGTGCCATGAGACACGAATGTGTAGAATGTGTTTTGTCTCTATGTGCAGTAATAAATATGGTTCGTGTAAATTGCAAATTAAATGGACGCGTTCGATTGCTCGATTGATGCCTCAAACGATCGTCTCGACGACGAGCAATTAGAAGATCTCTGATTGAGTCATTGTCGTAATCGACTGTCAAGTGTTAGAAGTCAAGAGTTTATCGAAACAAACACTCGACGATCATATTTAAAATTACATTTTAAAATTACGTTTGTTGAATAATAATAAATAAATTTTTTTCAATGTTAATTTAATAACTTTAAAGATCATATTTCAAAATATATATGAAACGTAAATACAATAAGAAATAATTCTAAACCATTATCACACATTTCATAAGGTAAAACATACAATACTGATAATAAAATCTACCTTGTAGGAGAAACGATACGGAATTTTTCTTCATAAAATTTTGATCTTTATGCTTCATTTTCTCGTTTTTATTTCCCGATTTACGCGGACAACAATACGAGAAAGCAGGCGAGGCGAGGCCGCGATTAGGGCGACGCTGTGGTCATATAAGTGTTGTATACGTGGGTATATAGTGCATATCCTACCTATCGATGCGAGCCCCGGACTTCGCTCTCGGTTCCAGGTTTCAGCGTCGAGAATTCCGGGGAAAATCTCAGAAATGTGACCTTTTGCGCGCGAGTCTCTTAACTCTCTCTTTCTCTCGGCGGCGATCTAACACCGAGAGAGCTCGAGAGCGCGGTTTCTCACGCCTGCCCACGCACGCGGAGAGATTGATGAAGCAGTCACACTTGTTGCACGTGACTGCGCCTCTCTTTCTCGCCCTCTCCTGAGCGAACATCTCGTATAATCGGCACCCCCGAGAGGAAGTGTTTCGATCGTTCATCGCGACTTCGGAAATTAACGAGCGCGTCTGTCGGCACTGCGAGCACGATCGATCTCGATCGAAGTGCGATCGAGCGAACAAGTCAATCTCGCGAGGATTCTAACTGCTGAGAAATTCGCCGGGGATTTCTACCTGTTGAAAATTAAGCTGGAACAATCTTTACAACTGTGCAGCAGACTAATCTTTATGTTACCTCTGTGATGTGAACGGAAATTCATATACTTCAATTTAAAATCTTCTTAAATATCTTCTTTTTTTTCTTCAATAAATCTATGCTTTGTAGAGCATAATTAAGAAATATTTATACTGCGTGTAGATATTCCAAGATATGCTTGAAAAAGGTTACACGATTTAGAAAATAATGATAAAATTATTTCGTTACAAATTTTTATTCTATAATTAGTACTTCTAAGATACAAGAGTGTTATCAAATAAAATTAGCCGTAATAAAAAAAAAAGAAAACTACGCCTTATTAATTTCAACGCATTATATTTATGTATTCTGACAAAGTATTTACGCGAGTCGATAATTTAACTATAATTATCCAGCATTAAAGCGTACAAGCGTCGATTACGCAACATTAACTCGTTCACCAACGCAACACACGGGCACGCACGGCCGTTCCCACATTCCCCATCGAGGGGTCTTTCCATAAAGTCAAATCACTTTCGCGCGTAAACACCATCGATCACGCACCGGCGTGATCTTCCGCCGCTATGTTGATCCTTGAGAAAGAAAAAGACGCGGAGAAGTGATCCCCGAATTAACCTATAAAGCTGAAAAAATATCAGCTAAGAAATATATATAAAAATATATATATATATATACATATATATATATATTTAAGAAGCTAATTTAGCTCTTTAACTCGATAGTTAATCTCTGCGAATGGCTTTGATTGGACGCGTGAGTTAATCTCTTCTCCGCGAAATTGGAGTCACGATCCTAAACGAATATGGAAATACAATAGCAATTTTACTTAAAAAGACATAAGAATTATAATAAATCTTTATCGCGATTTTTCTATATGCACGTATTATTAAAATATAATATACGTGGTTAGAATATAATAGACATAATTTGTGTATTCTCGGCTTAAACGCGCTATTCTCGATCGAAGTAGACTAATGCTAATCGAGAAAATGCATAAGAAAATTCTTTTATTCTTCATATTTGCGTCCATGTTAAATTGAAGAGAATAGCGAGCACTCCGCCAAAATAGCGGTCGCCATTGGCGCAGAAACGCGCGACGAAACGTCCGTGTGCAATCGATCGGTCGCGCTCGCAATCGGTCTCTCGCGAAACCAGTTACGTCGGTCTCCGAGCGCAACCCATCAACGATAGTGGCGACGATCGTGGTTTATGTACCACCCCTCTCGAATGCCCCGGTCTCGATACCCCACATCCAATACACCGCATCGGGAATGGGTTCTCGTTCGCGGTGCTCGCCGAGAATCGAGCGGCGATGACTTCGGCGAGGGAGAGAAACGCGGAAAAAAAAGGGAGGAAAAAGAAAATTCGAGACTCTAGACGATCAACACCGAGCAAGAAATGGAAAATCGATCGCTGGAAATATTCTCCGGCTCCTGTATCGCATTTGCATGCTTCGATCGAGTTACAGTCTACGTTGCACGAAGTTTCTCCCCAGCGAAAGGTCTTTAGTAACGGCAGAAAATAATAAAAGCTATCCTACAGCTGGTAAAAATAGCGTACGATTTTTATGGGAAAAGAAATAGCTTAAGTTATTTTAAATCGAAGATATTGACGTCTCTTGAGAAAATATTCATATAAAATGTCTGAAAGGAGTTGTTATAAAATTCATCGGCATATTCTGAAATTAACCACGACATTCCCCCCCCCCTTCTTCCCCCCTCCCCCGGTAAACCAATGATTTGGAAATTACTAAAGTAGTTATTAAAGTCGTTCTGCTTTTAATCCAGAAGATCACGAATAGAAACCGATATAGGCGTTATTTTTATATAAATTTTTATATAAATATGTATCACGGCGGATGAAAAATGAGATTAAAAACAAAATGCGCGCACCAGCTGTCGGCAGTGCGGTATCATGTAAAGCTCGATCTATGCTCAGTTGCACGCGATACGTCATAGTCAATTGAAACTGTCGTTGTATATATATATATATATATATCGGCGAACAGAGGCATTACTCATCTCCGTGTAATGTCTTATCGATCTCCGTCCCATCGAAGACGCTACGGCAATGCATGAGATGCGTGAACGTAAATTATTCAGGACCATCGGTTTTGAATTACGAGGCACGCGTTAAATATTAATACGCCGACTGACGGCAAGAAAACGCGACATAGAATAAGTAATGCCGAATGCGGACTGACGGGAAATAAGTGGGAATAATTCAGTTTGTTGCCCGACACACAAGAGAGAGATAGCCGGAGCGAGAGTGTATATTTGAGATTCAATCTTGGCGCGAAACGAAGAATTATCTTTCCACGTAATCGACCGTTGAGTTTAATTTAATTTATCGTTGATTAGTCTATTTTTATGCCCCGGCCTGAAATTGCCTGCTGCGCTATAAAGGAAGGCAGACACAGTGTGAAAATAATATTCTATTACCGACGTAAAATAATCCGATGGCTTTACGAGGCGGCCGCGCGAAATACGGCGACGTCGAAAATTATGAATCCCCGCCCGTCTCTCCCTCTCCTCCCCGTTTCCTCCTGTTACATTAATAAGGGGATACCGCGTGCACTTGTATTGTACTTGTGTATCGCATATTTATATTGTCCGGCCCGTATTTATATGCGTACGTCTTTACACATCGCTGCAGCTAGCGAGCAACTAGCGCGCGCGCGCGTGCGCGCGAATTGCAAGCACGTCCGCATGAGCACACTCTTGTAAACATGGGCGACCATGCATAAGAGAGGGACTTTCACTGAACATTATTAGATACGCGTCGGAATGCGACTACCGTAAACCGCGAGTGCAGCGGTGCCGTAAGTTGCACCGTAAATACCTGGACGCGCCATTCTCTTTGTCCCGAAATTACACACGACCGTGCGTACACCCTCACTTTCATATACAAGAGTATCAGTGTCAGCTAATTAACTAACTGTTATTTAAAAATATTATATCGCGCGAGCGCGTGCTCATTAACGTTCAAAATATTTTTCGCAAATGAAAATAAAGAGTAAGCATAAAATTAGAAAAATTCTGACGAATCAGAGCGAACGAAATAATCCTAAATAGATATCGATAGATATCATATTTGAGTATAATCATTTATTAATAGAAATGTTAATGCGGAAAAAATACATTTATGTATTAACATCTATTTTAGATAAAAAAAAATTTTTTTTGCTATGTTGCTATTTTCTCCGTGAGAGACGACGGAAAAATATTAGAAAGAATGCTTCATGCCGCGCGGAAATAACATGTAACGCGATTAAGAGGGGACAAGAGAAGGAAAAGGGACTGAAACCAAAATCGATTCGTGCAAGCTCGATTTAAGGGTGCTATCGATCGAGAAAATAGCGAAACGATGTTTACTCGAGCCAAAGGCTCGTGTTATGTTTAACAGACGAAGCGCTACGGGGATGGAAAAACGAAAATACAAACGATAACAGTGGTGCATCCTAGGCAATGTAGCGCCGCGACGCGCGTCGCGAACCTTTGAAAACGGCAAGACTTCGGATTTATTCATACAAAGGTAAGCCGTCTTACGCTCTGAAGAGCGGATATGTTGCATGAAAGATCAGCGGGTAGGGTGGTATTGCGCATATAGAGAGCCGACGGATGCCACCTGGTTCGGCAACAGCCGTACCCGACGTCGATCGGCAAAATGTCGGTCACCCGATATATGTATGTACATATATACGAAGCGTTCTCTCGGT